ACAACACGACTACGCCGCGGTAACTTGCGAGGTTTTCTCTTCTGCTCCCGTATTTCAGTCACGTTTCTGAACTTCGGCTGACATTTAATGAAACAGAAAATCTGCTGTATGTGGTCGTTAACTTTAATTCATTAAGGTTTTCTTGGTTAAAGCGTAATTAATGCGTGCTTAATTCGTGATAAGTGCACGGTAGGAAATAAATCAAAGCCGCTTGTAATGTGAAGAGCACACAGAAAGAACAAAGGCGACCAGCATGACTCCTATTGGTCGGCAAAGGGTGTCTATAAACCAATAACTATATCAGAGCAACTCCTATTGGCTAACCTAACCAAGGACTTGTTTAGATAGGCGAACATACTACATACTCAAAGCGTGGAAGCAGATTTTTTATTATTTATCACAGATAAAAGCGGCCTTACAAGGAAACCCCACCGTTAATCCTTATAAAATGCCTACTTTTTAGATGTTTGCTGTTAAACTCGCGCAGCGACCAGCAGTATTTTCGGAACTTGACTCTCAACATTGGAGAAACGAAAAGAAACCAGTTATAAAGAATTCTCCTTGTAAGCTCAGATCACGAATGAATTCCAGTAACACAGAGGAGGCATGAAACGCCAGTATTAAGTAAGGGGAGTGCTTGTACTATGCTCTGGGGCCGAGCTCTCACCGACTGCAATTCACAGATGTGGAGGTAGTCTGTCAAAAATGCGAAATATGAATACCACGAGGAAGTTCGGCAATCTCAACTCTGTTGACGCGTTGTTAATGGCAAAGGCTTCGCTCTCAAACCTCAGTGGTATCAAGTAAATAAACAACTAATCAGAAAAAATCGATTCCTATGGGTGTAAATCCTGACGGTTGCTGACTGGATCAGCAAAAGTGCTGTCCACTTCAACGATCGATGATCCCTTGTCAGCTGCTCAAAAGTATCGATTTTATAAGTGAAGCATTGCCTATCAGAGGTAAGAGACTATCTCCTTCATAAGACTATTCATCCTGACTAGATTTATCAATCCTTAAAATGCGGCTGGTGTACTTGAGTACTATTGATCGCTATTTGAAATGTCAGGAAACCAAGGAAGCAAACTCCTTATTCATGTCGATTGCTAATTCGATGGGATAAGATGTGCATT